ATGCCCTTCCCGAGTCTCGAACCCTGGACCTCTCGAATAAACGCCGGAGTATGCTTCCAATTAATCACGAAGGCATGCAGAAAGGAGGCAGAAAATAGCTTATAACTAAAATTGATAACCAATTTAAGAACACAGAAAATTCAACTTTCCTTCACACTTTTCCAGGCTTAGGACTGACAGTAAAAATACTGGCGTGTTTAAAAGTTGTGTGGTGTTAGTCACTTTCCTTTTTTTAAAAAAATATTATTAAGTTATTTTTAGAGAAAATTTTCATATGTTTTAATCGAAATTGTTGGTAGATAAGAAAGAGATAATAAGCACTTTCTGATATTTGTTGATGAGTAAAATTCTTGCATAATACGTTGGATTCTTTCCTCTTTTTTGACCACACTTGTTTTCCTTCTTTTCCCTTCTAAATTTACATAACGACAATGTATAAAATAATCACTTTCTTTAGCTTCGTTTTTCAAAATTTTATCAGTTCTAGAGTTTCAGGATGGATTTTCCTAATAACAGAATTTAATTTATGATGCCATCCATCAACAACATTATTTGTCGTGTGCAAATTTTCATTGCAATTCCACATCTGTATAGTTACGACGTCGTTTTCAAGCCACTGCTCAACAAAGTAATCATAAAATGCCTTAATCTAATCTTGCATTACGAAGGTGAACTTCTTGTACACAGCCAACCATCATCGACAAATACTGCGGGTATGTATGCAAGGGACGCTCACATTCTGAGGTGCGTTCTAATTTCTTCATTATGCCTATATTCGTTAACAAGTCCCAAGTCTTGAATCTTTCTCCAGAAACACTGATTTAAATGGAAATTGCAACCTCTTATTTTTAAGGAAGGAAAAAATATTTTTCAGCGAAATTATAACTGCAATTTCCAAATCCATCACAATTTCTTTAGGATCCCAATCAGAAATATGATTTTTAATTAAACGAAATAATCTCTCACAAGTGTGCTTTCGCTTATCGGAAGTAAGCAAAAACAACAGGAACAACATTAATCGTTAGAGGTACTTCCAATATCAACATGGATAGTATAAATTTAAGAGAAAATCTTTGAGCAACTTTTAAAAGTTCCATCCATAAAGAAAGTTTTGCCGCTTTTCATTGCTTCCCTTCCCTTCTTACTTGAAAATACCAAATCCGCTATCTTTTAAATCACCGAACAACAAGAAACTAAAGTTATCATCCATTGCTAATAATTCATTAGGAATTTCTAAATCTTCCATACATGTAGCTTCTCGATCGTATCCTTCGGCACTTTGCCTAGATTTGTATAGAGCTGTTTTAACACTTGAAAACTGCGGAATATTGGTTAATATGTCAAAGCCTTGATTGTATAGTTTTTCAACTTATTCATTGTAAATTTGAGAAAGTGGAACATTTTCTTCTTTCGCTCTCATTTTTGCTACAAATATATATATATATTTTTTTTACTGAAGAATGTGCTGTATCAGGTTGACATAAATGAATTTTTTCTTCTAAAACAACTTCTTCCTTGGTCTTAATTGAGCCTTTGCAGCTTTTAGTTTTTTCATTTATGCAAATCCAATAAACTACATTTTCCTTATTTCTATTCTGAATTCGATATTGATAACCTTTGTAAAGGGCTAAAGGCTTTTTACAAAGGTTATCAATAAAGGCTTTTTCCTTTTAGTTTCAATAATCTCTAAAACATCAATACTGATTTAGATACGAAAAATAACAGCTAATACTAAAGATTTTAAAGTGGAATGAAACTAAAGATTTCGAGAGGAGCCTAAACTAAGACACGTCTTCAGTCTAATAATGTCAACACGATGACTAACTTATTCACAAAGAAACTGCCCAACTTTTCTTAATGATTCATCCTGACATCTCCTGAGGAACTTCCTGTTCACAAAAAAAATCTTCCTGTTTGCGCGAAACGGGGATACAGCCCCCGATTTCGCGCAAACAGGAAGATTTTTAAAAACGCGGACAGGAAATGGGAAGGAAACAGACCTAAATCGAGAAAAACCCAGGAAAGAATTTCGCAACAGAACTTGGTGCCAACAGTAAAACATGGTGGAGGAGAAGTTATGGTATGGGGGTGTATGTCGTCCGTATGGTATGGGGGTAGTATAATGGATCAGTACAAGTATATTGACATTTTAAATCAAAATTTGAAATCTTCAGCACGACAATTAACCCTTCATAACGATTTTAAATTCTACCAGGACAATGACCCCAAGCACACTGCTTTGAACGTTAGACTCTGGCTGCTGTATAACAGTCCTGAAATAATAAAATCACCACCTTAATCTCCAGACTTAAATCCCATATAGAATATTTGGCAAGAATTGGAATCAAGAATTCGCAAACACACCATTTCTTCAAAAACAATTAAAATCATTGCTTCAAGAAGAATGGGGTAAAATCACCCAGAAATAAATAATAATAATAATAATATAATAATAAAAATTAACCGAATCTATCCCAAGAAGATTAAATCAGTTTTAAAAGTAAAAGGAAATCCAACAAAATATTAAACATTTAAGAAGTAGTAAAATTTTTGGATAAATATTTGATGGAAAAGTAAGTGTTCCATCACTTATGTGAGCCATTTCTTGCTTCCTTCTAAACAATAGTATTTTTATTAAATTACTATTTTACTATTTGAGGAAAATGTATGTATGTAATATTGTTACTAAATTTAAGTATGAAACACACACACAACAAAAAAAATTTTTACATGTTTTTTTTAAATTTATTTTACTACAGTTTCCTTTCGTAAAGTACAAGTGTCCTATCACTTTTCTGAGACACTGTATATTATATTAAATTAAACAAAACAAGTTATGTTAGAAAATGCTGACTAAGGCAAAAACTTGTATAAAATAAAACAAATTATTTCTTTGCAAAAGGCTGCTATTTGTTAATATTTTGTTTGATTTTGGACATTGAAAATCCCGAAGGGAAGCACGCATCAATTAATTTTTTAAAACATAAGAGTAAAATTTTAAAAAATCTGCAAGGTTTCAGATTTTAAATTACGTCTAGAGGGAGTTTTTTTAACATTTTGTATGTTACCTTTACTTATTAAATATCCTCTTCTTTGCATTCAAACCATAAAATTCAATTCAACAGCAATGTCACAAAATAATTTTAAAATGAGCATATCTTTAGAATTTCCGATACACAGTTCCGCGCGCTAGAGATAAAAATGCTTTTTTTTCCTCGTAAGAGTGTTGCCATTCCTCGCTTTGAAATCGTTTTGTTAATCAAAAATTCGTTAACAAAATATGAAATCGATCATAAAACAAATTCCGAATTTCAGATTTGGGCTTTCAGATGCCCATATTCGCAGCAGGATTAGGTCATTCAAAATTGGATGGCTCTATGTACCGTTGTTTTATCACAATGAGAGAAATATACATAGATTTATGCAGATTTCTTCATTATTTAATTTCTTCAAATATAATACAGGGCGATAGTATTTGGATGCAACGATTTGAAAAGCGATGCAGCCTTTTAAAGTTTTTTACACGAAATCGCAAAACGAAAACAATAGATCTTCAGGGACAGGACGAATAAAAAAAAAAAAATTTAAAAAATTTTTTCTAAAAATCTGAAAGGTTTCAGATTTTAAATTACGTCCAAAGGTGCGTTTTTTTTTAACGCTTTGTATGTTATCTTCATTTATTAAATATCATGTTCTACGTACTCAAACCATAAAATTTAGTTCAGCAGCAATATCGCAAAATAATTTTAAAACGAGCATATTTTTAGAATTTCCAATTTTTAGATAATAGGAGATAATTTTTTTTTTTTTTTTTTTCTCGTACAGTGTTGCCATTCCTCGCTTTGAAATCGTTTTGGAATAGCGGTTGTCAACCCTTAGAGCTTCACGCATCACTACACATATAATTTTATATTTGGTGGACTACTAATATGAATTAATAAAAAAAGGTAAATACGAGTATATTTATACACTAATAATCAGCCAACTTTTATTTTATTAATGTGAAATGCACCCTTTAAAGGTAACAATAGAGTAATTATTTTTCAAGCATATCCATGGATGCTAACTTTCCCATTCAAATGTCTCTAGATATACTTGCAAAAGTAGCTAAAAAGTCGCTAAATTCGGGAGGAATTTCGCTAAAACTAGTAGCTGAAAGTAAAATAAAAGTGTAATCCATATTCCATAATAGGTTTTGTTACTCATCATTTTTTTGAACTGAATCTTTATAAAAATATAAATAATGTCCCAATTTTTCTGCGGACCATCAAAATGTTTCACGGACCGCGAGTTGTCCGTGGACCACCGTTTGGCGACCGCTGCTATGGAAGATGACGTTATTCAAATTTTGATGACTGAAGTACGGTTGCTTTATCACAATGAGAGGAACATACATACATTCATGCAGATTCTTCATTATTTAATTTCTTTAAATGTAATACAGGGCGATGGCAACAATTTAAAAAGTGATTCGCTGTTTATAGTTTTCAACGCGAAATGCCAAAACGAAATTAATAGCCCTTCTGGGCAAATCGCCCCTTTGGACTAAAAAAATTGTGAAAGAAAAGTCTTTGTTATAAATAGCAATAAATATTTGAAAACTGACTGAATTAACGTATACTTATACATTATAAAAGACATTCAGTTGCCCGTGTGGTCTTACAAAGCATAAAATATGTCAAATAGGAAATATGAATAAATTTTATAATTAATTAATATTAAGAAATAAAATTTTATTAAAAAATAAATAATAATAAAATATTTCTTGAAGGTTAAGTAAAACATTGGTATTGATTTTTTTTTTTTGGATTTATCAAAATAAAAAATAACATAGATATGTAGATTTCTGGGGTGTTTTCCCAGGAGCCCGAAAGGAAAATACAAGTGGGGAGGGAGAGAAACGTAATGCAAAGAAACTCTTCACTAAGAGGAGAAAAAAAGTAGGCGGAGCAGAAAGTTTGGCGAGTTATTTGGCTGTGACTGTCATTCACGCTGGCAACCCTATAGCGTGTGGCCACCGGGCTGGAAGCTCAGGCGGCCAGAGTTCATTCCTCGAGAGATTTGTATGCATGTATACGGAAAGTTGAGCGAGCATCATTTGTTTTTCTGCATTGTCCATGTGCTGCTGGCTGTACTGTTGTCCGGGCAGTGCCTTTCTGCGGCCCCCGTGCCAGACGTGGTCGTCTTGGGACATAGGTGCAATCATCGCTGCTATAATAATCCACTGCTTCTGAAGGCGCCAACCGTGAATGCCCCCTCTGAAGCGAGGACAACTAAATTATGTTGTTCTTCTTTGTTCATGTTCGGAACTAAACGCAGTGCCCTGCTAAAACGCCTGTCTAAAATTCCGTCGCATGAAACCCAACGTACGGTGGAAACCTTGTTAAAACGACTTAACGTAGCTCAGCTTGAAGCCCTGGCGACATCCGTAGAGACACGGGGTGCTGAGGAGGCGCCCTGCATCCTTTTGCCGGTGGGAGAACTGCGGCTGGGCCGTGGGTCACCCATTTCGGCGCATGTTCTTTTCTGCCAGCTATTTAGGTGGATTGACTTGGTTTCACCACACGAGCTGAGGCGGTTACCTAACTGCCTGTCGCCCCAAGACAGATTCACCATATGCTGCAATCCTTATCATTGGAGTAGGCTTTATAAGCCAGGTAAGAAATTCAGTTATATTTTCATTTTAACATGAAAAGATGATTTTTTTAAAACTCGCACATGTTCTACAAAGCATTCTTCGGCGGAGGAGTACTTTTTGCACAGTTAAGTTTTTAGTTAGTTTAGAATATGTCTAAGAGTACATTTTGTAATGTTAGTTATTTTTCTAATTTTTGAGTTACTTTTTGGTGGTTACTTTAGAATATGTTTGTAGTTCCATAATTTATTTTCATTATATATTACTGGTATGTAAATTCAAGTGGCATGTTAGTTTTTTTGGTTTGAAGTAGTAATTGGTAGTTTCGAAACTAATTTCCAGTGAACAAATCGGCTGTGCTTGTTTTCATACACGTATAAATTAAAGGCCACTTAAAAATTCTTTAAAATATTTCACATTCAGGCTACTAGTTGTTAGATGCTTTGCTGTAGTTAGCCAACTAGTTTGTAATTACAGTTATGAATAATATTAAAATTCAGAAAAACTTCTGCTTTTGTCTTGATCAAATTGGTTATTACTATTGTAATTAAATTCAGGGATTTTAAAATTGAAAATAGAATAGAATGGTATTTTTAGCATAATGAGGTTTTATAAGCATTGCTGAAAATTAGATTTCTTACCTTAAGAGATATTAATTAAGCAGTAACTATTATTTTAAAAAACTGTCATCTTAATGTTCTTGCTTTTAAGTGACAGCATTTTCATGATTGTTTTATAATTATACTACATTGGGTAATGCCATTGCAGATTTGATCTGTAATTGCCTGTCTTAGAAAATCAATCACAAAACACATTTTTCTAACCTCTGACCCTTGTAACTATGAATCAGATAAATTTATTGAATATGAATGAAAGTGAATTATAGCAGGACGTATGGAAACGAATTTAAAGGGTTATAAAAGTTAGTTTTTCCAGAATTGAAGCTAAGTGAAAAAATCAGGAAGTGCAACTATAATTAAGACTTTGTTAAAATTAATTTTAACTTTATTTATGCCTATTTCCATATAGAATTCAGAAATGCAATCTTTCATTTATAAATTTCTTAAATGTAATAAAATACTACTACTTAAATTTTGATATAATTTTATAGTTATTTTTTCCATAATTGAAGCTAAGTTAAAAATTCAGAATGTGCAACTAGTTAAGACTTTGTTAAAACTAATTTTAATTTTTGTTATTTATCACTATTTCTATATAGGAGAGTAAGGAAAGCAATGTTTCATGTATAATTTTGTTAAGTGTAATAAAATATTACCACTGAAATTTTGATATAATATAGTTGATCTGTAAAAATTTCTCTTTAAATCACTTTAATTTTGATATTTTAAGGGATGACTTTATTGTAATTATTATTTTTTTTACTGAGGTGGAAATTTATAATCAACATTATTTCAAACTATAATAACCAGTATTTCTCATTCATGCCGTCATGTGTCAGCGAAATCGTAACATAAATAGCAACGACCGAAAATATTATTCTTTAAAGTCAGTGAAAAATGTGTACTATCAGTATGTTAAATAGGAGTACTAAGTTCCTAAGCTATTTCTGTATTCCTTTGAATCGCTAGAGGCCGAGTCGACTGCCAGCTGGGAATCGCGTACCTGCCTGTGGGGTCACGTGACGGGACACTGTGTCGCCAGTGGGCGCCAGCGCTGCTTCAAAGAGGGACGCAATTAAGTCGTGGCGCCAGACGTGAGCATGGCCTTATCGGGCGACGCCAAACGACAATTACCGCAGCTATGGCTGCAAAAATCCTTGCTCTTTTTCTTTTAAAAACTTCATAAGTAGCTTCTTATCATTGCAAAAAAAAATGGCTACACTTTCGCAGGATACGAATTCGGCGCCTTTTATCCTTCTGAGAAGAATATAGCTGCAAAATACTTCTACATTTCGATTAACCGAACTGTAGATTCATATCAGAATCCGTAATACTTACGAATTTTTTAGTTGTTTTAGTAAAAAATTTCTCGAAAGTTAAAATATTATGTAGATGAGTGATTATTTTCCAGCGTACTTTACTCTGAATATGGAAACGTTTTATTAAAAAATTATTTGTTCAACCAATTTCTAAAAGAATGCTCATCTCAGAAGGTATAGTTTTTGAAAAGTTCATGCGTTTAAAATTAAGCTTTCATAGTTCGAAAATGAATACCGAGTGTGCCAAACACTTGAGTATATTACTCCTCAACAGATCAGTTTATGAATAAAGGACTTTTAGCTGTATATTTATTTCTTTTGGAAATCTTTGATGATATCTTAAGAGTTGATAAAATTGCATAACTGTGTAGATAGATCTAGTTACAGTGTGGCAGTAAAAACGGCCATTTCTGATAGAGTAATTTTTGTAACTTTTTTTAAATTGCTAATATTTGAGGTAACAGTAGGCCGGCGCTTGCAAACTCTGAAATTCTGGCACTTGGATTTTTTTTCGTAAACTGTAAAACATTTTTTCGCGTCAGTTACACAGGCTCTGGGTTTCCAGAGTAACGGATCAATATATTCATGAGAAAATGTTTACATCAGAAGAATAGTTCAACGATATGTTTGTCATATAACTAGTGTATAGCAGCATTGAAAATTCTTAATTTTTGGAATTATCAGAACATTTAAAAAAGGTATTAGGTGTAACTGCTTTGTAAAATTCAGTTGTAATTGCAATATTGATCATTTGTCGGAGTGTTTTTTTTTTTTCAATCCTCAAATGATATTCTTAAACAAGAACCATTGTAAATTAGATTCTGTAAATGTAGGTTATTCTTTTATCTTTCATAGTATCTAAAGACAATAAGAAAATAAATTGCATTTAAAATTTTTTTAACGAAATTTTGAAAGTTTTTATTATTTTTGTAAATGCACAAAATAAAAAAAGTTTCATCAGTTTTTTAATATTTTTTACTCTGGGCGCACAAGTTTACCTTTGGTCTCAGTTTTAAGAACGCACAATATCATCACTGTATGTCTAAGTACTTTTTATTTTAATCAAAAAACATTTCGATTCTTGCATATGCTATTTTAAATTTTATTTTTCATGTATATACAGGAAATCTTGATTTATAAAATTAAAACTACAGTTTGAAAATGAAGTAAAATGTAATATTAACAATGATTATTCTTACCTTTTATTTTTATATATTAATGGGACAGAAGCTTAAGTAGACAATACAAATTATACTTTTTCCACACTTAGCTATAAAAATCAAGTGCGAAACATTAATCCTTATCCAGTTCCTTAATGACAACTGTGCTTTACATATGAATAGTAAATAATTAACCAAAAGGTTAACCATTGGACACATTCAAAGTTTGATGCCCTTCATCATTAATTCGTTTTTAAATTTTTTAAATAAAACGTTTTGTTATATATATATAGTATAGTATGGCTGTCAGTAACACTAATGTAATACATAGAAAACTACTATCCTTTGTAAATAAATGTTAACAAGAATATTTCTTACGAAGGGTTGTATTATATTTTAAAAATAAATTTACAGGATAGCTTTATTCAAAATACTGGAGGGTTTTGTTTGGCCTTCTGTGGAAGTGGCTGTATTGGTTGGTTTATAGCATTGTTTATTGGTATAAACCAACCAGTAAAGTATTGGTATAATGAGATTTTAATACCAGTGCTTATTTATTTTCTTAGAAATATTGGTCACTTTTAGCAGTAACTGTCACAAGTAATTAATGGTGTATGAGCAACATTTTGACAAAATTTAAAAAGTGATTTTAACCCCTTGGGTACATTCGATGTCTGAGACACGTCATTCACTTTTTTTCCCCTAGGAGCGGTTGACGTGTCTTAGACGTCAAACAAAAAATTAAACTCTTGGGTACATTTGACGTCTGAGAGACGACATTCACTTGTTTTTCCCTAGGAGCGGATGACGTGTCTAAAACGTTATTTGAGATTATGCACAATTCTGTTCATTTCATTGTAGCTTGTATCAGTCATAATAGAAGAAGCAATTACAGTATTTCGGTGAACATTATTTGCGATACACTGCCCCATTATGGTCAAAACAAGGAATAATTTTTATGATAGTGTAGCGAAAGTGACTTTGAGAAATCTAAAGAAGAATTGTTTAGTGATCCTGAAATTGACAATTACAATGAAATAGAAAGCGAAGGTGATGAGACGATATTGAACTAGAAAATGATGACAATTATAATATAATATCAAGGTTTCGAAGACGCACAAGACGTCTATCGAGCAGTGTAGTGAATCTTCTCGTGAACCAGTATCAGAGGAATGGATTGGAAAGAAAATGTAGCCGATATAAAAGTTTTTCTGAATATCTGAATTAATCCTTTGAGCCTGCCTAGACTAGGTAGCCTTTAATGTTTTGAAGAAGTCTTGAATGAAGATTTTGGTACACTATAGTAGAAGAGACGATAGATACACCAACAAGGGATAGAAAAGAAGGTTGCGTTAAAAAAAAAAAAAAAAAAAAAAAAAAGTGTTTCATAAGTTCTGATGAAATGAAAGCTTATATTGCATTATGCATCTTGATGTCACACATGAAGAAGCCAAAAATGCATATGTATTGGTCAAAACGATATGCAATAAGTACTCCAATTTTTGCCAGCACTATGGCACACAATAGGCTTTTGATATTTCAAGCTTTCTACATTGTACGGATAATGAAGAGGAAAATAAAGATGACAGAATAAGAAAGATTAGAAATATAGTGGATTACCTAAATACTAAAATGTGTTACATTTATGTAGTAAGTAGCTATTGATGAATCGCAACCAAAAGTTATATACGTTCCATGTGCAAAAATTTTCTCAAATAAATCCGTATCCAAGGGATTAAGAATTTTTACTTTTTCTGTCTCCCAAAAGAAAACTTTTCTGATGATTTAACACCTGTATGACTTTAAACTGTGAATTAGCATGATAGTGTATGGTAGTTTTACAAAATATTTTGATGGCTATGAGAAGTTATCTTGAAAAATTTATAAGGGCCAGTTTTGATAGCAGTACATAAATTCATGCTCTTAGCATTAGAACACGTAGGAATAACAATGGGTGGAGTCGCTAATAATTAACTAAGGATTTCTAGTCTTTGATTTCTGTAGTTGGCAGTGCATCTTCTTTAACTATGTTTTTCATGAATCTGCTTAACATAGTATCATTTTTGTCCCACTATCTGTATATCTTCTGTATAGTATGCTTGCTGTCATTTTAATTTTAGAATGCAGAATATACTGGCTATATATGATATTTCTGTATTTATGTTATTCTTTGATGTCCTTAATATAATGGTTAGCAGTGCTGATTGATTGGCATGTCACTGGGGCAGTTTGAATCTCTGAAAAGGTACGGATGTTTGTAAGCAGCGACTGTCTCAGAGCCGGTGCAACCAATGCATTTTCACGTGGCAGCAAAATTTTAGGATTTGGAGAAATGGCAAAATTTTCAGAATTTGTAAAATGCATTAAATAAGCTGCAGAATTATGGGACAAAAAATTTTTAGAATTAAGGGAGGCTACAGATAGCAGTGTTTGGGACCTGTATAATTTGTACTGGGTGGCAAAAAGGCCTACTGTGGATCTTGTTTATAAGTTGTCTGTGTAGCAGATGGGAATATTAAAATACTATCAAGCTGAAATTCTTTTCAAGTAGCTTGGTTGGAGGCCCTCATATCTTTTTTATGGAACATTCACTATAAAAATTTAGAGTGGAATTGCTCAGTTAATCTACCTATTATAATTCTTTTAGAATCATTTTCAATTATATAATAAGAGCTGATGTACGTACCTGTATTGCCAGAATTTTGGAGCAGCAAAATTTTTAGAATTTACAGACACACCAAGCGTCAGAATTCAGTAGCTGCAGAGATTGCTTTGGATGGCAAAAAATCTTGCTGCGAGCATTTTTGTAATATTTGATGGATTTTTGGGAGACTACGGAACACTGTCACCATACAAACTAAATAGCACAAAGCAAAAAAGCATTATCGTACAAAAATTGACAAGTGCTTCTTTACTTTGCCATTTTGGTTTATGAAAGATTTAAATTTTTTCGGGTACTTTTAGCATTTCATGTTTTATGTAACAATTAGTATGTTTCCGTATTTATTGCATTCATATTATTTTAAGCAGTCTTTTTGTTTATAATAAATTGAAAACATCACAGTGTTTCCAAAGGTATTGCTTCCATTTTTAATTGTGTAAACATCGGATATTTTCTATCTGTTTAATTTATCAGGAAAAATGACTAAAAGGTCATGTACCACAACTTAAATTTAGCTGAAACTAATTTTTGAACAAAATCCTTGTTCCAGACGTGGTTTATGAATAAAATTGTAATTATTGCTCGAGTTGCAAGTTAAATGAGCTTTGGTGATTTGTTGAGTAAATGTTCACAATATTACCAGAAAAAATGTATCATTAATTTAATTTGCTATTTTTTTACATTTAATATATATTCAGTATCCATTATTTACTTTTATTATTGTTCGCTGTTTCAGATAGTCCATGTATAGTGTATTAAGAGCTAAATCTGCTTTTGCTGATTTTTTTTTTTTTTTAGAAATTAAACCCTGTCATGTATACATTTGATAGCTGTACTATTAACCTTACTCCGAATAATTGTGTCTATGATTGTGCCCACTTTGGTAACTAGTTTGCATAATGCAGGAATTGAATATCAGTATATTTGTAATGGATAGTGTTTTTTTTCGCTTGATGTTTGGGAATTCCAGTATTAAAATAATTACTTTATTTTTTGTTTCTCAGAATTTTTCCATGAAAATGGTTAAGAATCCAATAAAAAATGAATAGTTAAATACTTTACTATAAAAATTATATACATGATAAAAGCTGTTAATCCCTTAACTGTGGCGGGCGTATATATACGTCCTTCCAAAATACTATCATTTGCCTTGTGCTGCTACCTGTAAAATTATTCTCAAAGCTTTGGAATGAAACACCATAATGACCTTGACAAAGTAATCGAAGCAGGATTCTATTTCAGAGAAGTTTGGGGAGAAATTGGAGAGAAGGATGTGTCTAAAGCGGTGAAAGCCAATATTGCACCACCAATACTGCGCGGTATTGGCTGGTGTTGTTTGAGTAAAATGTATTTTTAAATTTTGTCTCCTCCGTTATTGTTTCCTTTTTGTAGCAGGTTCCAGGAATAAAGATATAATGGATGTTTCAAACCCATTTAACGTTTTTGATGAACTGCTTGTGCTTCATATTGTTACTGAAACTAACCGTTTCATAGATGAGTATATGGCATTCAACCAGTTCAGAAGAAATATGTTTTTTTTAGGCATACTGATTTCACAAAGTATAATACTGAAATCTGATATTACACTTTACTGGTCTAAAAATGAATTGATCGAAACTCCATTTTAGAGATCATTTTTATTATACTTGCATCTTTGTATTATATTTTTATTCAAAACATTAAATTTTGTGCATTAGTTTTTTTCTTATATTCTTTATTTTGTTAAAAGTAAACAGTTTTTAGAAAGTAAAACTTGCACTTATTTTCCCCCTAATACAACACGTATACACGCGCTTGTGTCAAAAACTGTGGCACTGCGAAATGAATCTTGTATATTTTCCACCGCAGTTAAAGGGTTAAGCAGATTTATCTATCGAAATAAGTCTCGCATTTGTGTACATAGAACTTTTCAGAACTGGAGTTTTTATAAGCCTTAGTATATTTCTGTTGTATTATTTATTCATTCTAACTTTATCAATTTATTATATACTCATAAAAAATAAAATCTCCAAATGCTATGTGATACTGACGACTATATACTTTGAAAACATTTTGCTTTTCAGTAATATCTGTATCATAATTCTGTATATCAGGTAGATCAGATCACATTCAGTTGTAAGTTTTAATAAAATTTCTGCTTATAACAGTTAACATAAGTTTTCTTCCTTAAAAATAAATACTGGACAAAATATCCAAAATCTTTTCTGTTAAATGTAACACAATAATAATTACAAGCAGAATATTACTGCTTGAGGTGTATTTCATAACGGTATGCCATGACGCTTTTAGATGACCAACGAAATTGTCTTTTTTTTTTGCTGTCAACCGACAGCAGCATAATATAAATTCAAATCTGGGGGGGGGAAGCGAAGTCCTTCCTGAGATATCAACATCAGAATGGGGAGGGGGAAATTAATAAGTTTTTAAAATTTGTTACAAGTTTTTATTTAAGCAGTTATCACTTAAATATTTCTTTTTATATCGCACATTTTTATCAGAATTGTTTAAAGTTTATTCATCTATGAATGTTTTGTATGTAGAGGGTCTGCAGCCAGTTAATATCTACAAGAAAAAGTGCCTATAAAATCTCAGGATCAGAACCGGGATTTAATTATTAAAATTAGACATATTGGTGGAACAACATGGAAGGTCCTAAGAAATGCTGAACAAATAAATAAATAAATAAAAATGAGCAAACAGATTTAGATAAAATGCAAGGAGTTTTATGAAAATATGCAGATTAATCAGTACATGAATAATGAATTTAATGAATAAATATATTGTAAAATTAAGTGACATTATAAAACAAAGGTGAGAAAATTAATGATAGCAGGGCATAATGCTGAGGATAAAAGCAATGTTTAGAACAGTATTCTTTTCTGTCATATTAATTCGCTCTTTGGCTTTCACCTCCAATCGATTTAAAGTCTTGAATGGGTGGATAAATGTTCCACTCTTGGAAGCATTTTGGAATTTTTCCCAACTGCTCTAGATTTCTCTCAACTTTTGCTGAATCAAAGGGCCATACATTCAATCACTGATATCAATATCACTAACAGCTAAAAGAAAACTTACATGAATTATGCAATTTTCTGTTAATATTTCAATTTATTTGTGAAACAAGGGGGCAAAATCATTGTATTTTCAGCTTTAACTGCAATTTACAATATCTGGAAACATGGAGAAATATTCAAGTTGGGTGCTGGTTGAATTTAGGCACTGATCAAAATATAGTCATACATACAGTGCAGTTCGGGTTCCAAACATATATATAATTCATTTTAAATGTGCTAATTGTGTGATCTATGTGAAGTTTCAGAAAACCATTTAGTTTTAATATGTTACTAAAAATTATTTTTTTTTGTAGATTCTCCACCACCGCCATATACCAGGCATCCTCAGGAATTAAAAGTAGAAGGTAAATAAGTTTTCTTATCATAAAATGTTTGATTTATTTATCTCGACATGTTTTACAAATTATAAAATTAACTGCAAAGTTTGGAGTAGTAGGAAAGCAGTTTTTGAAGAGCTGTCATACCACCACCATGCCAAGCTAAGAAAAATTGTGTCAATATATTTGTTTTAAATTTTTTTATTTAAACAGCGTAAAATAACACATTGCAGTACATTAAAAAAAGTTATGCGTATGACATAAAAATTGGCCTGGAAGGCAAATATGTAATCTGAAAACAGTACTGTAATTACATGTAATTCTATTCTTTCTTTGTTCTGTGAATCATGACTAGTGATGCTTTTGTAAAAGTAGATTAAAGACATTGAAGCCGCGATTTAATTATGGCTTTTTTATGAGATAACTGAAGTAGAGAATATTTCAGATGAAACAATAACAGTATGTGGAAATAAAAATTATTCAATTTAATGCTGAATTGTGAAAGCTCTCATAAGTCTTTATTTTTTTTTTATATTCTCAATAGAATTTTTATTAGAAAATATTTGAATAATTTTTTTAGATTTTGTTTCAAATCTCGAGTCAATGGAACCAATTTTTAAAATAATTTATTCCCTCCAAGCAAGTAGATAGTAGTTAGTAGATATTTTGGGATCGAAATAATTTCAGATATTAAAATAATAAAAAATAATAAAAAATAAATAAAATACTTAATGGGTTTCTAGAGATTGTATTTTTGAAGACACGGTATGAGTAAATTTAATGATATAGTATATGCAAACTAGATATCATCATTCCAAAGCAGGGAAGTATACCATAAAACTTATTAAGTCATTTTCCATATTCACTACTTTTGTGAATTTTAAGTGTCATTAAATGCATAAAAATTACTGTTGAATAAGAATACTCAGTTCTTACAAACAAAATACCCGAGTGACCTTTTATATGCTTCTTTCATAATTATTATTATTTTGGTATGCCTTAACATAATTCTGTTTAAAATGAAATCAGTATAATGAAGTATGCATTTTACTGCCATCATAGAATACTTTCTGTTACATTCATAGTTTACGGAAGTACCAATACAAAATCTTTGAAAAATGGAATTCTTTTTTTTTTTCCTTAAAATTTTTATTTATTGATTTTGCTGTGCATTTTCAATAATTTATTTTAATATAATGATTTTCATTACAGATAGTGTACCCAGTGAACCACTATCTAGGTTTACCAGTCATCTTACTGGTACGTATATTAACATTTTAACTGTGTTTTATTATGTGATATCCGTTTTCCTCATTTTTTCTCAAAAATGCTGTGGATTCTTTGTATTTATTACATAATAATAATTTGATGTAGTTTATCGTTTGGTAACTAGTGAAATTAGTTCCTGTTGCAGAAAAAATTGTCTAAGTATATGTAAAAATAATAAATGCCAATTGTTAACACCTCTACAATGGTTTCTTTCATGCATTTTTCTAATTAACAAGAGCAAAGAGAAAGATGCCATACTCTGGAAAGATTGAGAAAAAAAAAAATGCATCGATATACGTAGTGTATTCGGAAACTAAGTACCGTTTCATTCTAGCGCCGTCGCAGCGCTGTGGTAGGCGTCTCGCACATGCGCACTAGTCTTTCTTGTTCACTGACTTTCAGTTGTCGCCATTTTAGTTGCTCTATGTTGTGTTTTCAGTTTGCTGTGCACATTCAAAATGTTTAAGACAATTAGTTCTCCCGTTGACTGTGAGATTCGTGCCGTGATTAAATTTTTGAACGCGAGGAATGTTAAACCGGCCGAAATTTATCGTCAAGTGACAGAAGTTTACGGTGAACACGCGATAAGTGATGGAATGGTGAGAAAGTGGGTAAGAATGTTTAATGCAGGTCGAACAAATGTCCGCACCGAGGCTCGGAGTGGTCGGCCTTCTGTTGTCACCGATGATTTGGTAAGGAAAGTTGATGAAGCAATTCATGAGAACAGATGCTTCACAATGACAACTTTTTCAGAGGCATTTCCACAAATTTCATGTACTGTTTTGTTCGAAATTGTGTCTGACCGCTTGAATTATTGCAAACTGTGTTCCCGATGAGTTCCAAAATTGCTCACTGATGTTCACAAAACAAAGCGATTTGGTAGGGCCCTGACATTTCTCACGCGGTACAGTGATGAGGGAGAAAACTTTTTAAACCAAATTGTGACAGGTGATGAAACTTGGGTGTGTCATTTGACACCAGAATCGAAACAACAATTGATGGAGTGGAGACACACTCATTCTCCGAAAAAACAAAAGTTCAAAGTGACAAAGTCATCACAAAAAATCATGTGCACTGTCTTCTGGGATAGGAAAGGCATTTTGCTTACTGAATTTCTTCCCAGAGGAGAAACCATTAATGCGGCACGATATTTAACAAAACTAAGGCGTGCCATTCAAAACAAACGAAGAGGAATGCTCAGTAAAGGAATTGTGTTGCTCCATGACAATGCTCGGCCCCATACTGCTGGTGTCACTCAATCGTTAATTCGACAGTTTCATTGGGAGCAGTTCGATCACCCGGACTTGGCGCCGGTCGACTATCACTCGTTCCTGCACATGAAGCGCGAGCTTGGTGGCAAGCGCTTTGGATCTGACAATGACACGAAAAATGCTGTGAAGTCGTGGTTATCGAAACTGGCGGGAAATTTCTTTGACGATGGTATACAAAAACTGGTCACCTGCTATGACAAGTGTTTGATTATTATTGGCGGAAACTATGTTGAAAAATAGTTTAAGACATGTATTTTCATGTAAAAACAAAATTGGATTCGAAAAAATTGTTTTGCTATTTTTTTTTTCAAAAGGTACTTAGTTTCCGAATACGCCTCGTACTATATTAGTATTTTTTGTTTCGAAATGTGCTCAGAATTCATAGGTAGGATTAATTTAGGGATGTAGTTTTTGACTTGTAAAAATCAAGTTCGTATTAAAATTCTATTGCAACATGATTATTTTTATGTAAGAATTATTTTATTTATTTATTTTTATGTAAGAATTATTTTATGTAAGAATATATTAGATTGATTTCATTTAGTTAAATGCCTTGCTGACCTTTATTGTAAATTCTAGAGGTGTTTCACACTTAAGGGGAACTTAGTTATGTGTATATGCAAGAAATGACTAAAAATCAAAATATGAGTTCTGCAAAGTGAAAACTGTAGTTAGAAAAAATAATTAATTATAGAAATTTATTGTTTTATGAGCAAATTCCAGCAAAGAAGAAAAAAATATTTCATTCCTCAGTTTTGATACTGAAAAAAACCTTTTCGAAAATTTAATAATAAAAAACAATTCTGTAAAAGAGGGAAAAAGTGTTTACTTTTTTTTTTTATTGGCAATTTATTTACTATTACGACGTCGGCGAGGAGAGCAAAAGAACTGTCGTTTGTCTTTCCTCCCCCTTGTATCTTCCCCCGTGCTATAGGTGATGAGTACAGGTATGGAGTTCTAAAATAAGCGGAAAGCGAGGGGTTCCCCTCCCCAGTTCTCTGTAATTTCTTCCCTCTGATTTTCTCCGTGAACAACAGCCGAAATAACTGGGCAGGACAGAACATCAGGGACCGTAACTGAATGGAAACTTGTTCTATTATGATATGCTTTTTTTGATGTGGATTCTGTGTTAGAATTCTGAAAATGCATTTTCATATGTATTTGAAATGAGTTGGTGTTAAAATAATATTTATTGAAAACCGATTGGTTCCGACTTCAAGAAATTTTTATGTTAATTGTATCTGCATTTGTAAAATAACTTTCTGAATATACGAGCTCCAAGAACTTTTTTTTTAGGCATTACTGAGATTAATTTCCTCTGGCCAGTTTTCCTCTTGTTAGCGCAGAAGTTTTAACAGCCTGCTGGTAAAAAAATAATTCTAAATATTGTGAAAGTGAGTTAGACGAAATCTGTATAGTTAAATTTTCATGATTTGTCTAGCCTTGCTTTTTGATTTTACCATTTACAAAACGTGGCCATACTACTGAATTTGCGCGGTTCGAAGATTGGTTTTCCGAATTGTTATTCTTTCATGGCGTAAAAAATGGTATAAATCAAAAGCTGGATTTTTAAAAAATAACTTCCTATTAAGAATACATGGTTATATATTCTTTTTAATAAAATACATTTTTAGTACTTGATATATCCACTGTATATTATATTTAATCAATATATGTTAATCGTATTTTTCAATATTGGCTCCGTGTATTTCGAATGGGTATGATCCTCACCTTCAAGTTGATAGAGCTAGCTAAACTTAAATAACCAATTTTTCGCTCATTTGGCGAGAAATACCTGCGGGCGATTTTAACCGCTTGCCTGATTATCCCGAGTTATCTCGGGTTCGTATATATTGCAGTTAATTATTTCCCGAGAAAATTCGGGCGAAGCAGAATTTGTTAGTACGATTTCTTTTATCGCGGTTTTACTCGGTCTGGAGGAAATGAAAGGAAATATTCAGCTTTGATTGGCAGTTTGCCAAATTTTGTTTGTTGCGCGGTTTTTTTGGAGGAACTGATCGCGTGTTTCTCGATTGTATAGTATACGTTGGCTTGTGGATTAGTAAGGTATAAAGAAGGATCCATGCGTTGGAAAAAAATAAAATAATGGCGATGATGGAAGATAGCGAAAGCGATGATTTTTCAGATAGTGATTATGAAGAGGCGGGGAAAAAAATCAAAAAAAGAAAAAAAATGAAATCCAACGAGACAGCACTCTGTGCTCCCGTGAAAGAGATTCCAGCGATAAGCCAGTAAGAAAAGAGACCAGATACCAGTGTAGAACGTCAGGTATCACTCCGTGTTGTCCCTTGTTTCAAAAACTATCATACAAAGATTAACTTTTTTTCGTTTGCCCGAGATAACTCAGGATAGTAAAATAAATTAAAAATAAACACCTTCAAAAAATTAAAAATTCAACCTACAAATTTTGATTTGTTTCGTTTTGTTGTTTTTAATAGTAAAATTAAAAAATGATGATTTTTTACAATTTTTTTCAAAAAAATTTGTAAGGGAAGCGGTTAAATTCACCTTACACGCGGGTTTTTAACTTTGGCTGAATACCGCAGAAAAATCTGGGCTTATATTCGGTAAATATTTTATTCCGCTTCGAAAAATAAATAAAAATTCATTTTCTTTCTTACCCTTGTGTAAGTTTTGAGAAAGCAACATTTTGCTTTTCCATTTTTTTGGTTATTATTTTATCTGAGACGATGTACCGATACGCTTTTTCTCTGAATTTTCACTGATGTTTTTCTCGCCGCGGAGGATCCGCATTCTGTGCTCCACCCCCTCTAAAATTTCCTCAGAGGTGGGGTACCCAAATTGCTGATCTTTTTTCCCCTGAAAGGTAGCCCCTCCCTCTCTATGGTGAGACATTATTTATTATCTTTTTTTTTTCCTACTATTTCGGATACTTCAAAAAGATCCTTGCCATAGTCCATCTTAGAAGAAATTATTTCCATTTTAGTGTATTAAGTACCCGGAGGTGATCCTTCTTTAGTGTTCTTAAAATATACCTCATCTGAGGTGCAGTTTTTACTGCGTCTTTATTTTGTTACTTATTTTTCATCTGAATATTAGCAGCTAGTATCCGGGAGTACAAAAATTCTGGTTTTTAAAATAAAGATACAGTACTTGTATGCCATTCTTTGCTTTGTGGAATATGTAGTATATGTTTTGAATTGCGTGTGGCGTATGTAATAATTAGCTTTGACATATTCTGCTCGCATTGAGTTGCAGCTAGCTTTATTTGTTCTTCCGCGAAACAAAAGTAATCGAGAAGACCGTATTTAATCATACTTTGTAGTGCGATTATTAAGTCTAGAGATTTTAGAAATATTTTTAAGGATTTTTGGAAAGCTTCGGTAGCACCGTCTGTGGGCGTTTGCCTCTTGCCGAAGGGTGTAAGCCAGCTATCAGAGTTGTTACATATTAATTATGTCAGTATTATTTGGCATCTCTCATATTCATTTATCATTTGATGACATTTTATCAGCAAGTCTCCCTCCCTTGCTACTTCCCTCTTTATCTGAGCGTAGAATGTAGCTTGACTTGAAAATCTTATCATTGAGCATAGCATAACGTTTAATTTTGCAACCTGATTTTATTGTAAATGGCTATGTAGTACTAATGTAATTCGATTGTATTTTTTTAATTGTAATTCGATGCGATTTAAAGCCATTAAAGGTAGTTTATTTGTTAACGTTACGAGATTTTTAT